TCACCTTGTTGAAAGAGATTCTTTGATTGGGGAAATCAAATATGGCACCCACAGTAGACAGGAAAGGGGTTCCAAATATGAGAGGTCTATGGCTACTCTCTCTCATTTCCACAATCTGGAAATCAGTAGGGATAGAGCAATTTCCAATCTGCACCATCACATTAGGCACAAAGCCATAGGGTGTTTGTGAGAATGAATCAGCATAGTTGATGGAGATGGATGATGGCTCTATCTTGGTGAGGCCTATCTTGTCAGCTATCCTCTTAGACATGATGTTCACATTGGCTCCTGTGTCACACAAAGATTGCTCAAGAATGTTACCTTTGATGATACAAGGCACAACAAACTTTCCTGAGTTATCTGTCTTGGGGATAATCTTTGGGAAGAGTCTTCTCTTTCTAGCTCGATTGGACTCTCTCTCTGGGTAATTCTCTTCAGGCCAAATCATGCAATCAACAGTAGGTTTTGAAAGCATCCATTCTGGAACTTGGTCTTCAAATCTTTCTTCTATGGCGGCTGAGTTGCAAAAGGACTTCTTGGATTCAGCTTCCTGTCTCTTAACAGCTTCCATAGTTTGTGTGACTTGAGTCTCTAGTTTCTTCACATGAGTGGCAACAGCATCATACTTGGTGTTGAGATTGCTGAACAAAGTGTCCATCTTCTCATACATCTCTTTAGTGTTTCTCTTCTGGCCATCCATGATCTGTTGGAGGATTCCTTCAAATCTCCCACCTTGTTGGTTTGGAGGAGCTTGATTTGGTGAAGAAGCATATGGCTCCTTGGGCGGATATGATGATCTCTGCTCATATCCTTGCCTTGGCTGAAATTGACTTCCTTGAGATTGGTAAGGAGGTCTTTGTTGTTGTGGATACCTTGGAGGATACACTTGGTCTTGAGGATTCTCCACATTGGGGTTTCTATAAGACATGTTGGGGTTTGGGCGATAGCTTGGATTGTATCCCTTGTTCCCATAGTTTCCAATGTAGTTCACATCTTCTTCATTGGCTTCATTAGAGAAATCTCCCATGCATTCTCTTGATGAATCTTCATTAGCATCACTCATCCCTTCTATTGCATTGATATGCTTGAGCTGTCCCTTAAGAACTTGAGCCATCATGTTCTTGAGTTCAGTCATTTGAAAAGAATCAGGGGAGCTAGTAGTGGTGCGGCTTGAGCGGTCATAATCAGGACAGTTGTTACAATCACTAGCTGCAAGATTCTCAATAAGAACCTTAGCTTCATCAACAGTCTTGGTCATGAAGTTTCCATTGCTTGTGTCCAATGAAAGCTTGTACTTGTGGTCTATGCCACGATAGAAGATGTTCCATAGGTTTCCCTCATTGAAACCATGATTAGGGCAGTCCCTAATGTACTCCTTGAATCGATCTAGCGCCTCATAGAAAGATTCATTGTTGCTTGGCGAAAGTGGAGATCTTGTTCCTCACAGAAATTGATCTTTGCTTGGTGTAGAAGTGGTTGATGAATGCGCCTTGTACTCATCCCAAGTGGTGATGGAGTGAGCTGGCAGAGACTTCAACCATCTTGAAGCTTTGTCGCCAAGAGAGAATGAAAAGAGCTTGCACTTAAGGTAGTCAGCAGAGACTCCATTGGATCTTGTAGTGCTGCAAATTTCTTCAAAGTTTTCTATGTGATCAAGAGGATGCTCAGCTGGAAGGCCATTGAATTGGTTCTGTCTAACCAATGCTATGATCTGAGGCTTGATCTCATAGTCATTCCTTGCAGGAAGTGGTGGATGGATAGGGTTTCTATCCATGAAGAAAGCATCGGCAGAGTCATAGTCTCCGATTGTAGGTGCTCCGCTTGGGGTTGTGCACATTCACATCTCCAGCAGGGTTAGGAGGAGGAGGAGGTGGATCTCTTCCTTCTTCTTGAGCGCGCGCCACTTCAGCGGCGTGAGCGCGAGCTGCTTCGTCGGCCATCTCTTGGGCTTTTGCTTCCTAAGTTGCTTCTCAAGCTTGTCTATCTCTGGATGTTCAACTAGGTTGTCCTTGTTGGACCTCCTAGTCATGCACCTGAAAAGAGTCTTGGAAACAAGTTAAATCAAAAGGGAAAAACAAAAACAAAAGCAAAAATCAAAGAAAAGAAATCAAAAACTAAAAATTCAAAAGCAAAAGAAAAGCAAAACAGGAAAAGGTTCTAGACTAGATCCTAGTCGAGTTCCAAAGGTACTGCTGCAGTCCCCGGCAACGGCGCCAAAAACTTGATGCGGAGTCAGGTTTTACCAAACTCCTAGACCTCTGCAAGTGCACAGATCGCGGAAGTATGGGTATCGAACACAAGGACTGGCTATTGAGTACACTTTGAAACTATGGATTTTGGATCAAGCTAAAACAAAAGTATGATTGAGGTTGTAATGGTGAACCGAACTAGCAAGTAAACGAGGTTGTAAACAATAAAGGAAAAGCGCTAGGTCATAGGGGCTATCGCAGAGAAGCAAGCAATGATCAATGAAACAATGATAGATGAATTGATTAGGGATATTGGGATATTAAGAACCATCTAGAACACAGATCACGAATATAAAACCATTCCACTTTCGAGGCTCCGGCTCCTTTGCTAATCTACCTAGTCGCTAAACTTTTGGTATGTCCCTAGGTGATTAGATCAAGCATTAGAATGAATAGGTTCTGATACAGTTCACTAGATATAGATAGATCAACTTTCGCAGTCTAAGAAACCTAGCTTGTCAAAGAATATGTCCGGCGAATGATACAGCACTGTCGAGGCTCAAATCAACCTAAGATCGGATTACTAGATGCGCGGTAAAGCAATCAGCATTAGTTAAGTGCACAAGACGAGACAAAGACTCTAATATAATCCCTAGCTAATCATCGAAATCAAAGATCATGCAAGCAACTCATTGAATAGTAACCCTAGCAACCTAACTAGTGGATTACTCAGACATGATCAAAGCAAACACACATAGAGATGAAGAAAACATGATTGCAATAAAACTTAGAGTAGGAAATCGAAATACAGGGCGGCTCTCTTTCTCAAGAGGCTAAAAATATATATATAGTGCTAGGTCTTTCTAGAGGCGGCTTAGGGTTAAGCCGGGCTTGAAAACATAAGTTTGGGCTTCAAAACGGGCTTCGGGTCGACCGCGGCGTTGGGACGGTCGGTCGGGACGATCGGCCGGACATCGGGTCGTGGCGAGTCGGAACGGTCGGGGTCGGATGGATTCGCGGTCGGCCGGCGTGGTCGGACGGATGAATTGGCCGATGAAATTCTCGGCCGGACGTGGGACGTTCTTCCCGGCTCGGACGGATGCATCGGCCGTGGTACGCAGAGGTTGCGCGGCCGCGAGGCTTGTTCCCGGCTCGCGCGCTTTGGTCGTGCGCGGCTTGGCGTGCGTTGGCTGGCCGACCGCGGGACTTGTTTCCCGGGTCTGCGTGATCGGCCGAGTGGTTTTGGACTTTGGCCGAGACTTCAGTCGGACGGATGCTTTGGCCGAGCGCGGAACATTCGTTCCTCGGCCAGCCGGACTGCGCGGTTGGGCGCTGTTCTCGATAGAGCCGTCTGGACAGTCTTCACTCTTTTGGTATAACTCCTTTTCTACTCATCCAAATGAGCCATTCCAATTGCGTTGGAAAGTTAACTCAATCAGAGCACGCAGGGAACTGGTCTTGATGAAATCCATTGAGTAGATCTTTTTCTGGGCCCTCTTAAAGTTGGTGCTTGTGCATGGAGCTGCTTGAAGTGCAAATCCTATGGTTTTGCTCCAAAATGCATCATTTCACCTGTTTAGACTCTAGACACTATAAACACAGTAAAACTACCTTTTTAGATAGAAAACCTGCCAAAAACCATTAGAAAACAATACTAAAACAGTATAAAAAGTGGGTAAATTAGAGGTATATCAGCAACCCGTTCGCGTACCACGGCCGATGCATCCGTCCAGCCGGGGAAGATCGTCCCACGTCCGGCCAGTAACCTTCGGCCAAATCCCTATCCGCCCGACCACGCCGGCCGACCGTGCAATTATCCGGCACGACCGTTCCGACTCGGCCCAAGATCCAACTGACCGGCCGATCGTCCCGACCGACCATCCCAACGCCGCGGTCGACCCGAAGCCCTTTTGAAGCCCAACTCTATGTTTTCAAGCCCGGCTTAACCCTAAGCCGCCTCTAAAAGACCTAGCACTATATATATAGATTTTTAGCCTCTTGTGAAAAGAGCCGCCTTGTATTTCGATTTCCTACTCTAAGTTTTATTGCAATCATGTTTTCTTCATCTCTATGTGTGTTTGCTTTGATCATGTCTGAGTAATCCACTAGTTAGGTTGCTAGGGTTACTATTCAATGAGTTGCTTGCATGATCTTTGATTTCAATGATTAGCTAGGGATTATATTAGAGTCTTTGTCTCGTCTTGTGCACTTAACTAATGCTGATTGCTTTACCGCGCATCTAGTAATCCGATCTTAGGTTGATTTGAGCCTCGACAGTGCTGTATCATTCGCCGGACATATTCTTTGACAAGCTAGGTTTCTTAGACTGCGAAAGTTGATCTATCTATATCTAGTGAACTGTATCAGAACCTATTCATTCTAAAGCTTGATCTAATCACCTAGGGACATACCAAAAGTTTAGCGACTAGGTAGATTAGCAAAGGAGCCGGAGCCTCGAAAGTGGAATGGTTTTATATTCGTGATCTGTGTTCTAGATGGTTCTTAATATCCCAATATCCCTAATCAATTAATCTATCATTGTTTCATTGATCATTGCTTGCTTCTCTGCGATAGCCCCTATGACCTAGCGCTTTTCCTTTATTGTTTACAACCTCGTTATACTTGCTAGTTCGGTTCACCATTACAACCTCAATCATACTTTTGTTTTAGCTTGATCCAAAATCCATAGTTCAAAGTGTACTCAATAGCCAGTCCTTGTGTTCGATACCCATACTTCCGCGATCTGTGCACTTGCAGAGGTCTAGGAGTTTGGTAAAACCTGACTCCACATCACTAACCCTTTCCCAAGGTGAAAGCTATCAACCAAGGAATGATCTCAGAAACAGGGGGTTAGCCAGTGAGAATCAAACCTTGGAGGCCATAGGATCATTGCCCAAACTAATCCATCCAACCCCTTAGACCTCTATTTCGAGAGCAAGAGATATTGGAGCTCTTAGTGGATCTTTTCCAGCGATTTCCATCACTTCCATGTGGAGAATCGCCTAATGGACATACAAGCCAGGGGTAGTGGTCATGTAGCCTTAAGATTATCCAAAAGAGAGAGAATCTAGATTAAGACCATAAGCAAGAAGGATTAAGCATATGAAACCTCTAATCTATCCCATCTCAAACCCTAATGGGTAACTACTCACTACACATGAATGTAAACACAAGCAAATGCAATAAAAGAGACATCATAAGAAAGAGGAGATGAAATAAACAACTTTTATTGAAATAAGCAAGTGCAAATACAAAAGATATCCAGGATCTAATTCAAGAAGCAAGAGCTTCAAGAACACAAAGATGGATTAGAGTTCAAAAAGTAAAAGACAATAAATTAAAAGAAAGCTAAAACAAAATAATCTAAAGCTTGGTGTTTTTTCGTGGCTTTTAGCCTTTAAATACAAGAGGATTTAGGTTTAGGGTCAAAGGAAAGTCAAGGGGGAAGCAACATTTTTCGGGTTTGACTGTTGACTTCTCAGCTCGATCGAGTTGAAGCTTGGCCGGTCGAGTTGAGGAACTCGACCGGTGGTCGAGCTGGTCTTCAAGATGGCTTCTCCTTCTTCCTTTGCGTATCCAGTTGAGCTGCGTCCATGCCCAAGTCCTTCCTTGCTCCCATGTCTCCATATGCTCCAAAAGACCTATTTCAAAGGACCAAACATGCATATGTATGCAAATGCAACCTAAAACTACTATGAATGCATAAGAAGAGAAAAGGAACAAGATATGATGCTAATGGATGCTAAAACTATGCAAAAGATGCATAAAAGATGTACTAAAACTATGTAAAATGCAAGTACATCAACACCCCCAAACTTGACCTTTGCTTGCCCTCAAGCAAACAAATAGAACAAGAAAGAGATGAGGTTTGAAAACAAATTGATTCAACACTTAAAAACATGTCCTCAAAAGCGATTTGCTAAATGTCCAACTTAGAGATTCTAGAATGCAACAAGGTGAGAGATATTCATTTAAGATTTAACCATGCTTATCAACATCAATCCCACTTCACAGTCACTCAAACAATGCATTCAAATCAGCAAATCCCTTTAACATTCATTAAGCAAAAACAGTGAACCAAAAACATGCAAGATCAATCAACTCATTTGGTTTCAAGGGTTTATGGGTTAAGAGACAAAGAGGGTCTCTTTTGTATGGTGGTTTAGTAACAGGGATCTCTCAAGAAAGTGGCTTTGCTTTGGCAGAAGGCTAAGTGTTAGAACCTTATGCTAAGCAAAGCCAAGAAAGGTTCTCACAATTCGCACAAGAGATAATATGGGGTTTGAAATGAAAAAGGCTTAGGTTTAAGGTGTGGTAACTGTCTCAAAGATGGAGATCAGCTATCTGGACAAGCAAGAGGGATATGAAAATAGGTAAAGAATGTCCAGATATGTATGTGGTAGCCATGAGTTGAAATCAAATGCAAGCATTGGTAATTAAAGATCAAGTTATGGTTCAAATAGATAGGGAAATGCATCAAATCACAGCAATGGTTGAATGAGATGTGCATGCAGTGATATGATCAAGATAAACATGGTTCTTGCTGCTCAATCAATCTCACCCTAATGCACAAAAGAATCTAAAAACAGGGCACTCAAGAAATCGCAAATGATGAACAAGTTTTCAAAATCAAATCAACAATGCAAGTGAAAGATGCAATCCTAAACAATCTAACAAATATGAATGCAAAAAGATGAAAATATTTTTGGATTTTTTGAAAATTTTATGATTTTTTTGGTTTTTCTATGCAAATGAAATGAAAAACTAAGAACAAAGAAAACAAGGTTAAATCATCTCTTGAACCCTCCCCCAAACTTAAATCACACAGTCCCTTGTGTGAGAGAAATTTAGTGAAAGATTCAAGAGGGCAAAACCAAGAAAAAAAACAAATGCAAGAAAATATGAAATGGTATTACAAGGGTTGGTGTTTGATACCTCAGTGCCCCCCAAAGAACTGGGAGGCAAGGTCGTGGTCTGGAGAGGGCAGACGGCCATCAGGGACACTCCACTCGACTGTTTGTGCAGCTCGATCGAGCTTGCTCTTGGCTCGATCGAGTTGTGCCTCGAGTTGGTTGCCTCTCCTTCCTAAAACCTGTTCCTGCAAGACTTATCTGAGAAAAACGCAGCGATATGTAAAAGATAGACATGGGAATTCCTCCCAAGTGAGCTTGTTTTAGGTCTCATAGCTTGACCTTACCTTTTAGGCAGGGGTTGGATCTTGAAGAGGAGTGATGATCTCCTCTGTGGGGGTCATTCCTAGGTAGGGCTTGCATCTATGCCCATTCACTGTGAATTCTTTCCCCTCTTGGTTGAGCAGAGTGAGTGACCGTAGGTAGAACTTCATGTATCTTGAATGGCCCGACCACTTTGACCTCAACTTCCCGGGAAACAACCTTAGCTTGGAGTTAACAAGAGCACACTGTCCCCAACCTTGAAGTCTTTTAAGGCGAATCAGTTTGTCGTGGGCTGCCTTGGTTCTCATCTTATAGATCATGAGTTCTCATAGGCATTCATTCTGATTTCCTCCAACTCAAACAAGTTCATTACTCTCTTTCTTGTGCTGCCTTTATGTCAAAGTTCAGCATCTTTACTGCCCATAAAGCCTTGTATATTCGACCTCCACAGGTAAGTGGCAATCCTTTCCATATAGCAAGTTGAAAGGAGACCTTCCAATGGGGGTTTTGTAAGCTGTCTATAAGCCCAAAGTGCTTCATCAAGCCTTGTTGACCAATCCTTTCTAGTGAAGCTCACAGTCTTCTCCAATATGGCCTTAATCTGTCTGTTGGAGACTTCAACTTGCCCACTGGTTTGAGGGTGATAGGGCGTGGCAACCTTATGCTTGACTCCATAACTCTTCATCAACTTCTCAAACACCTTGTTGATGAAATGGGAACCTCCATCCGAAATAACAACCCTTGGGATGCCATATCTTGGAAAGATGATGGTTCTGAACAGTTTGATAACAACCTTGGCATCACAGGCTGGGCAGGGAATGGCTTCAATCCATTTGGACACATAGTCCACAGCAACCAAAATGTAGTTGTGCCCGTTTGAGGAAGGCTTGAAAGGTCCCATGAAGTCTATTCCCCATACATCAAAGATCTCAACTTCTAGAATTGGGTTTAGTGGCATTTCATCCCTCTTGGTGATTCCTCCTTTCCTTTGGCATGGATCACACTTGGCAATGTAACTTGCTGCATCTTTGAACAAGTAGGCCACCATAAACCAGATTGCAGAACCTTAGTTGCGGTTTTGAATGTGGCAAAGTGCCCTCCATAAGCAGACCCATGGCATTGCTCAAGAACTCCTTGTACATCTTCTTCAGCTATGCATCTCCTGTAAATGCTATCTGGTCCTCTCTTGTACAAGTAAGGCTCATCCCAATAGTAGTGCCTAGCATCCTTGAAGAACTTCTTCCTCTGTAAGCATCAAAACTACTAGGGACTTCTCCAGACACCATGAAGTTCACTATATCAGCATACCATGGCAAATTTTCATCACGCAGAGCCTTAACTTCTTCCAGCCTGACTTCTCATCAAAACTTTTCCTTCAAGATCATGATTGCCATAAGCTGTTCTTCAGGCATAGAATCATTGATGGGGATATGTCGTCAACTCGCATCCTAGAGAGATGATCAGCAACTCCATTCTCTACTCCCTTCTTGTCTACAACTTCTATGTCAAACTCTTGAAGCAAAAGGATCCATTTGAGAAGTTGATATACCTCTATTTTACACTTTTTATGCTATTTTACTATGGTTTTCTAATGGTTTTCTAGTGGATTCTTGTGTTAAAAGGTAGTTTTTATGGATTTATAGTGCAAAGAGTCATTTTAGGTAAAAAGGTGCATTATGGAGCAAAACAGAGATTTGGACTCTAAACCAGTTCAATGCCACTGCATCAACTTTGGATGGAGCTAGAAAAAGATCTACTCAATGGATTTCATCAAGACCAGTTCCCTGCGTGCTCTGATTGAGTTAACTTTCCAACGCAACTGGAACGGCCTCATTTGGATGAGTAGAAAAGGAGTTATAGCCAAAAGAGTGAAGACTGCTCCAGACGGCTCTATCGAGAATCAGCGCCGAACCGCGCAGACCGGCTGGCCGAGGAACGATGTTCCGCGCTCGGCCAAATCGTCCGTCCGTCTGAAGTCTCGGCCAAAGTCCAAACCGACGGCCGATCACGCATCACGACCCGGGAAACATCCCGCGGTCGGCCACGCCACAACCGCCACGCCAAGCCGCGCACGACCATGCCGCGCGAGCCGGGAACAGCCTCGCGGCCGCGCAACCTTCTCGCGTACCACGGCCGATGCATCCGTCCGAGCCGGGAAAAACGTCCCACGTCCGGCCGAGAAACCATCGGCCAAATCTTCATCCGTCCGACCACACCGGCCGACCGTGAAATCATCCGGCCACGACCGTTCCGACTCGGCCACAACCCGACTGTCCGGCCGATCGTCCCGACCGACCGTCCGAACGCCGCGGTCGACCCGAAGCCGTTTTTGAAGCCCAATCCGCACAATTCAAGCCCAAAGCCGGCGCCGACCTAGCTAGATTAGGTCTAGCCGCTTTTTCATACTTAGAGCATTATAAATACTTCTTTTTAGCCTTGTAACTCAAGAAGGAGAGAGACCACAATCTATTTTACATCTTAATAAAGTTTTGCTTGCTTTTACTTTGTTCTTGCTTGTTCTCTTTCTAGAGAGGATTCGAATCTCTGTTCTTATGAATATGAATTCGTGTTCCTTCTCTATGTCTGAGTAGTTTACTTGTTAAGTGATAGGAAGTCAAAGGATAGCATTCATGTATGCTTGATGATTGATCACAATTAGGGTTTTACTTATAATCTCCATCTTTGCTTATACTTAATGCTTGTTGTTAATCTGGCCAATTAGCATATGCCTTTAGGTTGATTTGAGCCTCGACAGTGCTGTATCATTCGCCTGAACTAGTATTTGGTGGGCAATCTCTTTTAGACTGCGAAAGTTGATCTACTTGTAGGTTGTGAACAATTGATCTTATCGAACTAATGCTTGATTTAATCACCTAGGGACATACCAAAAGTTTAGCGACTAGGTAGATTAACAAAGGGGTCGGAGCCTCGACAGTGGAATGATCATACCATAGTGTTTCAAGTTCTAGATTAGCACCTAATGCAGTAACCCTAATTGATTGATTTCATGCTTCTTGAATTGCTTATCTTAAGACTATCCTATTGCTTAGCCCTTTCTCTCCTATTGATCTCACTTTCTTTATTACTTGCATGCTTTACTTTCTCTGCACTCAACCAACTTATACTTTTGCCCTAGCTCGATCTCAACTCATAGCTTGTAGTGTGCAATCTGGTCCTCGTGTTCGATACCCGTTTACTACTTCTGACCTGTGCACTTGCAGAATCAGGGATAGGAAAGGGGAAGACCTGATCCCGCGATCAAGTTTTTGGCGCCGTTGCCGGGGACCAATTCGCACCTACAAGCTCTTGCAAGAGAGCTAGTCTAGGGTTTCATCTTTTCCTTTTTGTTTTTGTTATTTTTCCTTTTTTCTTTGATTTGGTTTTTCCTTTTTGTTTTTGAGCTTTTCAGGTTTTCCTAGTTAGATATGGAGAAGGAGCCACAAGCCTTTTCCCCTATAAAGGCGATCCACTTCGCCACATACCACCTCAAAGAACCTCTTGAGCGAACAAGAGATGTCAAGCCCTCAAGCACCACCACCTTCATGGGATAGTCCTCCAAGACTATCCCTTGAAGACAAAGAAGAAACTTCTTCCCTACCTTGAAGCAGCCGACCTGGAGACGTCTAGCCAAGCCGCATCACAGAGAAGAACACCTTCTAGCCACACCAGAAGAGGAGATTGACCCTGAGCTGATCGAGTTCGTGAAGAGAGATCAATTCCATGATCTGTTTTCAGAGTATGCGCTGGAGCACATAGATCACTTTGACAATCTTTGTGATTCCTATGGAGTTTTTGACTTTGAGAAGAAGATGATGCTATTCAGCACATCACTAGCTGGACCAGCACTAGATTGGGCGCAGCATGAACCACTCTCTACAATCGAGTCATGGATCGATTTTAGAGAAGCTTTCTTGAAGAGATTTGCAAGGCTACCACCTTTCAAATCCAAGTACACCACTACTCTCATCAGCTGGAGAGAGAGCGTGATGAAGAAGAATGGGGAGGCATACCACCCCATCCTGAAGTCTGAATGAAGAGCTAATCAAGCATGTGGAGAGGAATCCTTTCTACAATTCTACTTCAGAGTGTGCAAAGGAGCATCTATGCAACTTTGAGCAGCTTTGCCACGACTATGGACTTGGAGACAACCCCAAGAAGATACAACTTTTCCAACTATCTCTAGCTGGACAAGCCAAAGAATGGGCTAAGTTCAATGCCCAACATGCTTTCAAGACTTGGAATGGATACAAAGGAGCTTTCCTCCACAGATTTGCTAAAGGTCCTATTTATGTTCCACCACCACGCCCAAGCTATTCACAACACCATCCATCATCACCAGACATAAACAAGACACCACTTTTCCCAAGGGAGAGCTATCAAGCTGCGCGCCAAACCAAGATTGAAGAGATGCTTCAAGAGTACTTGAGAAATCAAGATGAGAGTACAAAGAAGATGGAGAGAGAATCGATTTCATCCATGAGAGCCTTGGAAACAAATCTGAAGTCCTATTCAAGCAAGTGATCAAGCTTGATGAAGACATTAAGAAGTTAAGAGAGGATCATGATCGATCTCTTGACCCTAGTTAAGCTTGATGTTGCTTCCAAATATCAAGAGTTGCTGAACAAGAGCATGAGAATTGAAGATACTAGCTATGGCAATAGCAAACATCTTGGATCGATCTACAACCGCCTACAAGCCCTTGAAGGATCATCTCATGCCAATTACAAGAGAGAGAGGAGTCCAACACCCAACCACCCTCCCTTTTATTGCAATGCCATCACAAGAAGAAGCACTACTCAAGTCCATGAGGACAATGAAGAAGAAGAAAGAGAGTATGAGGAACAACTTGAATGATGAAGATGAAGAGCAGAGCATCGACATCAATGCTTCCCCAAAACAGAGCATGGATACACCTAGCCCTAGACCCTCGTTTCTCACCAAGAAGTCAAGCTTCTACACTTCCAAGATTGGAAGCAATGCAAAGACCATCACCACCTACTGAAGAAGAAGATACTTGGCAGTATGATCCCATTGATCCCAACAAGATAAGCCCCATGAAGCTTAAAGAGTTCAATGCTAAGGTGAAATCACTTCCATTCTATGTCACTTTTGAAGAAGCTTGGGATAAACATGGTCTAGTGGAGTTCTTTTTCACAACTAGTGAAAACAAAGAAGAGATACACCAACTTTTCAGAAGGCACGATTTCCCCATTGCCCCTCATGCAGTCAATCAACCACCATCACCACCATCATCACCACCACCCAATGGTATGTCAATTCCATATCAAGAGAGAAGCTTGCTGAGTTCAATCAGTTTGTCCAAACTCTTCCAGCCAGCATGTCTTCCAAACAAGCTTGGCGCCACTACCCATTCACCACCTTCTTCCACAACTGCAAGAGACACCTGAGGACATAAAGAGCTTTTTGAGAAAGCTAAAGTTCAGCCTACCTTCAAGACCCTCTACAAGATTGAAGACCCAGGTCAATTCTCTATTCCCTGTCAAGTAAATGGTCATTACTTTGATAGAACACTATGCGATTCTGGCTCTTGCATAAACCTCATGCCAACCCAAACCGCCAAACTCCTTGGCATCACACGCTTGCAACCTGCTCAAATTAGTATTGGACTTGCTAACCATACTATAGCCAAGCCAAGAGGAGTTGTTATTGATGTTCTTCTAGAGATTGGAGATATCAAGATCCCGGTGGACTTTCATGTCATGAACATCAAGGAGGATGTGACACACCATTGATACTAGGCCGACCCTTTTTGGCCACTGCTGGAGCTGTCATGGACCTTCCAAACAGGCGAATGTCCTTAGCCAATGTTGACAAGACAGTCTTTTACAAGACCATACCATTCATCTCACCAAACAAGCTGTCTTACCTCATCACTGCCCAAGGCCGCCCAAGAGAACCACCAGACCACACTCAAGGTCACAATGAGACAAGAACTAAAAGACTATGTCTCAGGCCGTGCCCTTACCCCATCTCCAACTAAGAGATCCTATCAGTCAAGCTAATGACTCAAAAAAGCGCTGCATGGGAGGCAACCCATGAAAGGTGTTTTTCTTTACTTTTCTTTTCAATTAGTTTTAGTTAATGTCTAGTTTTGTTTTGAGTTTTGGATACAGGAATCTAAGAACCACACAATGGTAAAGAAGATATACCACAAGAAGAATGTTCATAGTTGGCGCGACTTAGATGGCCGAGCAGAACCTCTCCACGCTCGCCCATGTCCTCTCAAGCCGCCCAACACACCATCCCATCTCATTCCATCTGCATCTCACCCATCCCACCTCACCACACTTGCATTCCATCACTACCATCATTCCACTGCATTCACCATTCTTCAAGTAACACAAATCAGGTTACATCTTTCTTTTTACATTCACAACCACTTTATTACCTCTTTCTTTAACTCCCTTAATTGGATTTTCTTTCACCGGGACGGTGCAAGTTAAGTCTGGGGGGATTGTCGGTACTAATGTGTTTGTTCATGGTTGTTTTTCTTATAATTGGTTTTTCCTTACCCACTTTTTCAAAACTTCTGTTTTATTGAGTCAAAACCAGTCCGGAACATGAACTTGCTTTGAGATTTGATAGTGTTATGCTAACAATCTATGACCCTAGAGCAAACATCAGCTGAAGGCACAAGCCTAACAGAAGCTCCTACAGTGGATCGACATGCTAGCTCAGCAAATTTCTAAGGTAACCAAGCAATCTAGAGTTAACCTCACCCTTAATCAATCTTAATAACTCTTGTCAAGGGGATTGGCATACATGTCGACAGTTCCTTGCTTGATTTTCAATGAGATTTGTCTAAAGAGTTCTCCTCTCTCTCCCATCCCAAATGGTAAGTAATGTTTATGAGAAAAGCTCAAAGAGCACAAGGAAAACAAGTAAGCATGAGGAATGCATATGTCTGTACCTTCATGTCTTATGGAATACCTTATCAAACAAGGAACAAGCTAAAGACTTATCCTGTGGTTGAAAGAAGGGTCAATAGAAAAAATAAAATGATACCCTAGAAAAGTAGGGAGAAATTGACCTTTCAAAGTTCTGATGTGAGAAAGAGAGAGGAAAAGGAACTCATTGCACTTCAAAGACAATCTTGGAGAAGATCAAGTGGGTAAGAACAAGTTCAATTGATCGATGTTCCCTTGATAAAGAACTCACGCTTTAAATTTATGCAAGAGGTTAGCAATAGAGAGTTTGGATTGCTGGATGAGACTAGTTGGGTTGGTATTGTTCGCTAAACTTGCAGGGTGTATGTGAAGCTAACCTTATGTTGACTATGTTCTTAGTGGAATACAGGAAAGGAACCTTTCACAGGATTTTCAAAGAAGCAAGGGAGTTCCCACGTTTTTCAAAACCTCTTCACTAGTTTAGATTCTTTTTGCTTGGGGACAAGCAAAGATCTAAGTCTGGGGGAGTTGATATACCTCTATTTTACACTTTTTATGCTATTTTACTATGGTTTTCTAATGGTTTTCTAGTGGATTCTTGTGTTAAAAGGTAGTTTTTATGGATTTATAGTGCAAAGAGTCATTTTAGGTAAAAAGGTGCATTATGGAGCAAAACAGAGATTTGGACTTCTAAACCAGTTCAATGCCCCTGCATCAACTTTGGATGGAGCTAGAAAAAGATCTACTCAATGGATTTCATCAAGACCAGTTCCCTGCGTGCTCTGATTGAGTTAACTTTCCAACGCAACTGGAATGGCTCATTTGGATGAGTAGAAAAGGAGTTATAGCCAAAAGAGTGAAGACTGTCCAGACGGCTCTATCGAGAATCAGCGCCCAACCGCGCAGTCCGGCTGGCCGAGGAACGAATGTTCCGCGCTCGGCCAAATCGTCCGTCCGTGAAGTCTCGGCCAAAGTCCAAACCGACGGCCGATCACGCATCACGACCCGGGAAACATTGTCCCGCGGTCGGCCAAGCACAACGCTCACGCCACGCCGCGCACGACCATGCCGCGCGAGCCGGGAACAAAGCCTCGCGGCCGCGCAACCCGTTCGCGTACCACGGCCGATGCATCCGTCCGAGCCGAGAAAACCATCCGGCCGAAATCTTCGTCGTCCGACCACGCCGGCCGACACGCATCCGTCCGGCCCGACCGTTCCGACTCGGCCAAAGACCCGACTGTCCGGCCGACCGTCCCGACCGACCGTCCGAACGCCGCGGTCGACCCGAAGCCGTTTTTGAAGCCCAATCCGCACAATTCAAGCCCAAAGCCGGCGCCGACCTAGCTAGATTAGGTTTAGCCGTCTTCTTATACTTAGAGCATTATAAATACTTCTTTTTAGCCTTGTAACAAGAAGGAGAGAGACCACAATCTATTTTACATCTTAATAAAGTTTTGCTTGCTTTTACTTTGTTCTTGCTTGTTACTCTTTCTAGAGAGGATTCGAATCTCTGTTCTTATGAATATGAATTCGATTTCCTTCTCTATGTCTGAGTAGTTTACTTGTTAAGTGATAGGAAGTCAAAGGATAGCATTCATATGCTTGATGATTGATCACAATTAGGGTTTTACTTATAATCTCCATCTTTGCTTATACTTAATGCTTGTTGTTAATCTGGCCAATTAGCATATGCCTTTAGGTTGATTTGAGCCTCGACAGTGCTGTATCATTCGCCTGAACTAGTATTTGGTGGGCAATCTCTTTTAGACTGCGACAGTTGATCTACTTGTAGGTTGTGAACAATTGATCTTGATCGAACTAATGCTTGATTTAATCACCTAGGGACATACCAAAAGTTTAGCGACTAGGTAGATTAACAAAGGGGTCGGAGCCTCGACAGTGGAATGATCATACCATAGTGTTTCAAGTTCTAGATTAGCACCTAAGTGCGGTAACCCTAATTGATTGATTTCATGCTTCTTGAATTGCTTATCTCAAGACTATCCTATTGCTTAGCCTTTCTCTCCTATTGAATTCTCACTTTTATTACTTGCATGCTTTACTTTCTCTGCACTCAACCAACTTATACTTTTGCCCTAGCTTGTTCTCAAACTCATAACTTGTAGTGTGCAATCTGGTCCTTGTGTTCGATACCCGTTTACTACTTCTGACCTGTGCACTTGCAGAATCAGGGATAGGAAAAGGGAAGACCTGATCCCGCACATCAATATAGCAAGCTTTTGGAGAGTATATGAAACCTAAGATCTGATGCTAGTTGATCAGAAAAGCAAGCAGCAATGAATTCAAGCAGAGGCGAAGATGCGATATGATAAACCCTATGTGACTTCTAACAACCTATCAAACCATGAACTCTTTGATAGATCTCACAACCTAACTAGTGGATTACTCAGACATGATCAAAGCAAAACACATAGAGATGAAGAAAACATGATTGCAATAAAACTTAGAGTAGGAAATCGAAATACAAGGGCGGCTCTCTTTCACAAGAGGCTAAAAAGCTATATATATAGTGCTAGGTCTTCTAGAGGCGGCTTAGGGTTAAGCCGGGCTTGAAAATATGAAATTGGGCTTCAAAAAGGGCTTCGGGTCGACCGCGGCGTTGGGACGGTCGGTCGGGACGATCGGCCGGACAGTCGGGTCTGGGCCGAGTCGGAACGGTCGGGCCGGATGGATTCGGTCGGCCGGCGTGGTCGACGGATGAGATTTGGCCGATGGTTCTCGGCCGGACGTGGGACGTTCTTCCCGGCTCGGACGGATGCATCGGCCGTGGTACGCGAACGGGTTGCGCGGCCGCGAGGCTTGTTCCCCGGCTCGCGCGGCATGGTCGTGCGCGGCGGCGTGAGCGTTTGCTGGCCGACCGCGGGACAATGTTTCCCGGGTCGTGTTGCGTGATCGGCCGGTCGGTTTGAACTTTGGCCGAGACTTCAGACGGACGGATGTGATTTGGCCGAGCGCGAAACATAGTTTCTCGGCCAGCCGGACTGCGCGGTTGGGCGCTGATTCTCGATAGAGCCGTCTGGACAGTCTTCACTCTTTTGGTTAACTCCTTTTCTACTCATCCAAATTAGGCCGTTCCAGTTGCGTTGGAAAGTTAACTCAATCAGAGCACGCAGGGAACTGGTCTTGATGAAATCCATTGAGTAGATCTTTTTCTGGGCCCTCTTAAAGTTGGTGCTTGTGCATGGAGCGGCTTGAAGTGCAAATCCTATGGTTTTGCTCCAAAATGCATCATTTCACCTGTTTAGACTCTAGACACTATAAACACAGTAAAACTACCTTTTTAGATAGAAAACCTGCCAAAAACCATTAGAAAACAATGCTAAAACAGTATAAAAAGTGGGTAAATTAGAGGTATATCAACTCCCCCAGACTTAGATCTTTGCTTGTCCTCAAGCAAAAAGAATCTAAATCCGTGAAAGAGGTTTGAAAACGTGGAAACTCCCTTGCTCTTTTGAATATCCTGTGAAAGGTTCCTTTCCTGTATTCCACTATGAACATAGACAACATAAGGTTAGCTTCACATACACCCTGCAAGTTTAGCGAACAATACCAACCCAACTAGTCTCATCCAGCAATCCAAACTCTCTATTGCTAACCTCTTGCATAAATTTAAAGCGTGAATTCTTTATCAAGGGGACATCGATCAATTGAACTTGTTCTTACCCACTTGATCCTTCTCCAAGATTGTCTCTTTAAGTGCAATGAGTTCTTTTCCTCTCTCTTTCTCACATCAGAACTTTGAAAGGTCAATTTCTCCCTACTTTTCTAGGGTATCATTTTATTTTTTCTATTGACCCTTCTTTCAACCACAGGATAAGTCTTTAGCTTGTTCCTTGTTTGACTAAGGTATTCCATAAGACATGAAGGTACAGACATATGCATTCCTCATGCTTACTTGTTTTCCTTGTGCTCTTTGAGCTTTTTCTCATAAACATTACTTACCATTTGGGATGGGAGAGAGAGGAGAACTCTTTAAAGATTAGACAAATCTTATTGAAAATCAAGCAAGGAACTGTCGACATGTATGCCAACCCCCTTGACAAGAGTAATTAAGATTGATTAAGGTGAGGTTAACTCTAGATTGCTTGGTTACCTTAGAAATTTTGCTGAGCTAGCATGTCGATCCACTGTAAGAGCTTCTGTTAGGCTTGTGCCTTTAGCTGGTTTCTGCTCTAGGGTCATGGATTGTTAGCACAACACTCTCAATTCTCAAAGCAAGTTCATAACTTCCGGACTGGTTTTTGACTCAATAAAACTTTTTGAAAAACATGAAACAAAGTAATAAAACATAAGAAAAGAAAGAAAAATGCATTAGTAACACAATAAAACTCCCCCCAGACTTAACTTGCACCGTCCCGGTGAAAGCAAATCACATTAAGGTGAGAGGTAATATTCAAAAAAAAGAAAATTAAAGAAAGAAAATGAAAAGAAATGACCTTCAATGGGTTGCCTCCCATTCAGCGCTTTGTTTAAAGTCATTAGCTTGACTGTATGGCACTTCCTTAAGGATCTGGTGGATCGCCAAGAGCCAGTGTGGTCTCCTGTGGTATGGTGGTGGAAGCTAGGTAGGGTTTTAACCTTTGTCCATTGACTGTAAAGTCTCCTCCCATTGGGTCCCATAGTACCACTGCTCCATAGGGGCGAACTTCTTTAATCCTGAATGGTCCTGACCATCTTGAGCGAAGCTTTCCTGGAAAGAGTTTCAACCTTGAGTTGAATAGTAGAACTTGGTCGTTTGGCGCAAGTTCTTTGGGATGATCTTGCGGTCATGGAAAGCTTTGGTTCTCTCCTTATAGATCTTTGAATTCTCATAAGCTAGATGCCTAATCTCATCAAGCTCATTTAGCTGAATCAATCTTCTTTCTCCTGCTGTCTTTAGGTTGAAGTTCAACTCCTTAATAGCCCAAGCTGCTTTGTACTCCAGCTCCACAGGTAAATGACATGCTTTACCATAGACAAGATGAAAGGGGGTGGTACCAAGTGGTGTTTTGAAGGCAGTGCGGTATGCCCATAGAGCATCATCTAGTTTGGCACTCCAATCCTTCCTTGTCTTGCCTGTTGTCTTCTGAAGTATGCTCTTGAGTTCTCTGTTTGAGATCTCAACTTGTCCACTAGTTTGGGGGTGGTAAGGAGAGGCAACTTTGTGAGTAACTCCATGCTTCTTCAAAAGGTTGGCAAAGATTCTGTTGATGAAATGTGAACCTCCATCACTTATGACTATCCTAGGCACTCCAAACCTTGGAAAAATGATGGATTTAAACATCTTGATGACCACTTGTGCGTCATTAGTAGGGCTGGCATGGCTTCCACCCATTTGAGACATAATCAACTGCCACTAGAATGTATTGGTCGCCAAAAGAGGTTGGGAAGGTCCCATAAAGTCAATGCCCCAAACATCAAAAACTTCAACTTCTAGTATAAAGTTCTGTGGCATCTCATTCCTCTTGCTTATATTTCCCATTCTTTGGCAAGCATCACATCTTGATATGAATGCATGAGCATCCTTAAACATAGTTGGCCACCAAAATCCAGCTTGTAGGACCTTGGATACTGTCTTGTAAGTGGCAAAGTGCCCTGCATAGCTAGAACTATGACAAGCAAACAATATTCCTTCTACTTCTTCCTCTGGTATGCATCTTCTAAACATTCCATCTGAACATTTCTTGTATAAGTAAGGTTCATCCCAGTAGTACCTTCTTACATCACGCAGAAACTTCTTCTTTCTGTAGCCAAAGAAGTTTGGTGGTGGGTATTCAGCTGCAAGGAAGTTTGCTATGTGGCGAAACCATGGTGTGTTTGATGATGAGATCTTTGTTCCTGGCCTGTGATGGCTTAGTTGTCCATGCTTATTGCTAGCTTCAGCTGCATAAACTGTTTCTTCAGGTAGCCTATCATCAAGAGGTAGATTTTCTTCAACTCTCATCCTTGAAAGGTGATCAGCTACTCCATTATCTGCTCCTCTTCTATCCTTGATCTCAAGATCAAATTCTTGCAATAGTAGTATCCATCTCAGCAATCTTGGCTTGGCATCTTTCTTAGATAAGAGATACCTTAATGCTGCATGATCAGAATGAACTATAACTTTCGATCCCACCAAGTATGATCGAAATTTCTCAAATGCAAAGACAATAGCAAGAAGCTCCTTTTCTGTTGTGGCATACTTGCATTGTGCCTCATCAAGTGTTCTGCTGGCATAATAGATCACATGTAGCTTCTTGTCTTTTCTTTGTCCAAGCACTGCTCCTACTGCATAATCACTTGCATCACACATTATCTCAAAAGGTAGTTCCCAGTTTGGAGGTTGAACCACTGGCGCACTGACCAATGCCTCTTTGATCTTAGTGAAAGCCTTGTGACACTCCTCTGTGAACTCAAAGTTAATATCCTTGCATAATAGGCGTGTTAGCGGCCTTGCTATCTGTGAGAAATCTTTAATGAACCTCCTGTAGAATCCAGCATGTCCTAGGAAGCTTCTGATATCTTTGACTGTCTTGGGCGGCTGAAGGTTTGTCATTACTTCAATCTTGGCCTTGTCAACTTCTATGCCTCTCTCTGAGATTCTATGTCCAAGCACTATTCCATCTCTAACCATAAAATGGCACTTCTCCCAATTTAGAACTAGGTGCTTGTCTTCACATCTCTGTAGCACTCTTCCAAGATTTCCCAAACATGATTCAAAGGAAGAACCATATACTGAGAAATCATCCATGAAAACCTCCATAATCTCTTCTATTAGATCTGTGAATATGGACATCATACACCTTTGGAATGTAGCTGGAGCATTGCACAATCCAAAAGGCATTCTCCTATAAGCATATGTGCCATAGGGACAAGTGAATGTAGTCTTCTCCTGATCATCTGGGTGGATTGGAATTTGGAAAAATCCTGAGTATCCATCCAAGAAACAGTAGTATTGATGATTGGCAAGGCGCTCAAGCATCTGGTCTATGAATGGCAAGGGGTAGTGGTCCTTGCGCGTGGAGGAGTTCAGCTTTCCTGTAGTCGACACACATTCTGTGTCCAGTGATTGTCCTTGTTGGAATGAGCTCATCATGTTCATTCTTGATGACTGTGATCCCTCCTTTCTTTGGCACGACATGTACAGGGCTGACCCATGCACTATCTGATATTGGATAAATCACTCCAGCCTTCAAGTAGCTTCATTATCTCCTTCTTGACAACTTCCTTTAGGTTGGGTTTAGCCTCCTTTGGTGTTCAATTGAAGAACTAGACTCATCCTCCAGGATGATGCGATGTGTGCATAGTTCAGGTGAGATTCCTGTTAAATCATCCAAAGAGTAACCAAGAGCCTTTCTATGCTTTCTCAGTTCGCGAACAAGTAAAGCGGTCTCTTCTTTTGTTAGTGCAGCATTAACAATAACAGGATATGTTTCATTAGGACCAAGATATTCATACCTTAGACCAACTGGGAGTTGTTTTAGCTCGGCTTTTGGAGCTCTAAGTGGGCACCATGGGTCGAACTTAACTTTGGTTTGTGATGTTTCCTGACCTTGTCAATGTCTGGCTCTTCCTCTTCTCTCTCTAAGTCCATATAAGCTATCAGCTCTTTATAAGCTTCCTTGGAATCCATGAACTTGACTAAGCACTGAGCTTCTCTTTCCATGTATCCATACTCATTCTCAGCCTTTGTCAAAGCTAGCTCCAAGGGATCAATAAGAAGGAGTTCATCCAGCACTTCTTCTCTTGTCTCTGCGAGCTCTCCAATCCAAAAAGCTTGACCATCTACAGTTGGTTTCTCCATAGACTTGTTTACCTCGAAATTCATCACTATATCTCCAAGATGCAAGTCAATCTTTCCATTCTTGACATCTATTATAGCTCCTGCAGTAGCTAGGAATGGCCTTCCCAAGATAAGAGGGTCTTTAGGTTGGTGTTCCAGCTCAAGAACTACAAAATCAGCAGGGATGTAGCAATCTCCAACCATGATTGGAACATCCATAATAACACCAACAGGGCGGCGAACAGATCTGTCTGCAAAGACTAGGGATATCTTTGTAGGTTTGAAGTCAGTGATGCCCAATAGCTTGGCCACTGAGTAAGGCATTAGGTTCACACTAGAACCCAAATCACAAAGTGCTCTATGAAAGTGTGTAGAACCGATCTTGCAAGACAAAACAAAACTTCCTGGGTCGTTCAGCTTCTCTGGCATGCGATTCTGAAGTATGGCGCTACACTCCTTTGTAATCATCATTGCTCCTTCTTCAAGCTCACATTGCTTGTGAGTATGGCCTTCATATACTTCCTGAGGATGGAATTATCTGGCAGCATCAATGAAAGGCAACCTTACTGAAAGTTGGCTAACAAGATCCTTGAGCTTTGCTTGCTCCTTCTCCTTTCTTGGGCTGAGAAAGAACATTTCTGTATGGGATCTTTGGCTCATACACTCTTGGTTCTTCAGGTGGCTTCTCCACTTCCTCCTGAGTTCCTGGTTCTATTCTGACATGGACTTCCTTAGGTGGTTCAGTCCCATCTCCAATAATAACATACTCCATTGGTTTCTTCTTGATTGGCGGCTTTGCTTCCTCTTGATCTGGGTATGCTGGTGGCTCATACCCTTTTCCATTCCTAAGAGTGATAGCTGCTACAGCTGCTCTCCTTGGATTGATTTCCACTTTTCCTGGTAGCACCCTTCTTCTCTCTTAATAGAGCTGGCTATATTGGCAACTCTAAGATCCAAGTCTCTTGTGAAAGAAGAAATAGAATCCAACTTCTCATTCAATCTGTGAAGGCTGACTCCAATCTCTCATCAATCAAGGCTGTGTGCTCTCTATGAGAACTCTTGATGAAAGTTATCAAATCTTCAAAATTGCTCCTTGGCTCCATTCTTCTCTTGTGAGGTGGTTGCTGATAATTTCTTCCTCCATGAACATCCCTCTTCTCATTGGGTGATTCTTGAGTAAAAACATCATGCTCTCCCTTTCCAAGCTTCTTCTCTATGTGTTGATCCATCTATTCCAACAAAGTTTACTTCTTCTTGAAAGCTTGGAATCAAATCTCCAAAGTAGTCTTGAATTATTGTGGATTCAACTCTATAAGCTTCTCTTTGTCTCTCCACTTCTCTTCCTTGGTTTCTCAGTATCTCAGCCATCATGGCTTTGATTTCGCTGTATCCATCTCTGTATGGATCAGAATTTATGGCCTTCACTGCTCTCTCATGCCCAATGAAGTTGTCACTGTCGCTTGAGGCTAGATTTTCAATCAAAATCTTTGCTTCAGTAACTGTCTTGGTCATGAAATTTCCATTGCTGGCTGTATCAAGAGAAAATCGACACTTCCCACTTATTCCTCTGTAGAAAATGTTCCATAGACTGCCCTCAGATAGTCCATGTTAGGACACTCTCTTGTATAGTCTTTGAAGCGCTCCAATACTT